AGAGACAAAGTGTGAGCAGGGGAAGGGCAGAGAGAAAGAGGGAGACACAGAACCTGAAGCAGCCTCCAGGTTCTGAACTGTCAGCACAGAGCCCAAGGCAAGGCTCGAACCCACGAACCACGAGATCATGAAATTAGATGCTGAGCCACCCAGCCGCCCCTCTTTACCACTGTGTAACTTTAAGGAAGGTACAAAATGTTCCTCGACTTGGGTTTTCCCGTTGCCCAAAGGAGGGGTTGAGGCCGGGACATTCCTTGGGGTCCTCTCTCACCCAGGAATGGCAGTGACTAGACTCTTCCCCCTGGGGCTGCTCCCAGGAAAGTGAGATGATGTCACCTTCCTCAGGAGCTAGGGGGCAGGAGTGACTTCCCTGGGCAGTCACACCTGTGTCACTCTCACTTCTGGAGGAGGGAGCACAGCCTTGTGTCTTAAAGAATGAGAGGGCTTTAGAGCGGCCAGGACCCACTCCTACTGGGAGTGCAGCTTCGGGAAGGGCCCCCATCTTTCTGCCTCACAATTCCCTCTTCCATAAAATGGGGGAATATACCCCCCACCTGACATCTAGAAGGACTGGATGAGCTCCCGCAGGTAAGGCGCCTGTCACAGTACAGAATGGGGGCGCTGCAAATCTGAGCCCCCTCCCTTCCTGCCTCCAGCCTGGAGGCTCTCCCTAGAGCCAGGGAGCCCATGGGTGTCTGCCAACATGGCCAGCACCAGTGTCTGGGCCAATGAGGACAGCGTCTCCCCTCATACAAGGGCACTATTGTTCCAACACGGGAGCTAGACATGAATGTGGCTCTGGGGAAGGAGGGGCAGAGCAGCGTCGGAAGGGCTGTGAGCAGCAGATAATGCCACAGGGGGCTCCGCTCCCTAAAAAGTGCTCTGTGGCCTGCTAGCACCCTGAAGGGCTGTGTGCAGGCCCCTCCTTACAAGGCCTGCACCGTTAACCCGCAAGCATTCTTGGTGCACAGGAATGTTCTTTGTGAGGCACCCCATCCCCTGGCTTCGACAGGGCCTCTGCCGGGGCCACTGTGGTTCCTTCCTGTTGTGCAGCCTGAGCTCTCCCCCACCCTCTTTATCTCCCAGGAAACTCCCCCCCCCTTTATCGCCCAGGAACCTCACACCTGGGAAAAAATCCAGAATCACATCTATATTAGTTCGCTAAAGCTGCCTAACAAAGTACTATAGACGAATGGCTAAAATGACAGGAAAGTATTTTCTCACAATTCTGGAGGTTAGACATCCAAGATCAAGGTGTCGGCAGGACTGGTTTCTGCTGAGGCCTCTCTCCTCGGCTCGTAGATGGCCATCTTCTCCCTGTGTCTTCACCCGGCCTTCGCTCTGTAACTGTCTGTGCCCAAATTCCCTCTCCTTATAAGGCCACCAGTCATATCGCATTAGGGCTCACCCTGCTGACCTCATTTTACCTTAATTACCCCTTTAAAGGCCTTATCTCCAAATACACTCACATTCTTTTATTGTTAATGTTTATTTATTTTTGAGAGAGAGAGAGAGAACACGAGTGGGGAAAAGGCAGAGAGAGAAGGAGACACAGAATCTGAAGCAGGCTCCAGGCTCTGAGCTGCCACCACAGAGCCCGACGTGGGGCTTGAACCCACAGACCATGAGATCATGACCTGAGCTGAAGTCAGATGCTTAACCGACTGAGCCACCCAGGCCCCCCTAAATACACTCACATTCTAAAGTCCTGGGTGATGGTACTTCAATATGTGAATTTGGGAGAACACAATTCAGCTCATAACACCGTTTTGCAAGTGTCCAACGGGGGCCTAAGAGCAGTCATGGCCTCAGCCAATGGCTTATAGTAGACACGGCCAGGCCTAGAATCAGGTTAGGATACCCCCGTCTTTTGTCCTTTCTCCGCTTCCTGCACCCCCAGCCGGGCAGGATGGTCCTCAATCAACTTCCCCACAAATCCTCAGAACTGATGGGACTTAAGAGGAACAGCAGGGTACTGTGTTGACCACAGGCAGAAGGCGGAGAGGGTGAGAAACTCTAAGGGCAGAGCTTTTCAAACTTTTGTGGGCAGAGGACTCACTACAGGGGCTCCTGGTGAACATGCAGACTCTGACGTAGGCTGTCTGGAGGGGGACCTGGAACTCTGCATTTCTACCAAGCTCCCAGACGATGCTGATGCAGTTGGTCTACAGGCTACACATCGAGGAGTAGCAAGGTTTAGACCAGCGCTGTCCACCACATGTATAATGGGAGCCGCCACAGTTACAGTGAGAAAATTTTACGTTTTCTAATAACCACATCAAAAAAAGGAAAGAGAAACAGGTGAAGTGAACTCGTATAGTTCCAACCCAATATATCCAAAGCGTTACCATGTCAGAACACTAAGCCATGTAAAAACCCATAGTAAAATATTTTATGCTCTTTTTTGTACCTAGTCTTCAAAATCTAGCAGGTATTTCATTTATTTATTTACTTATTTACTTACTTAATTTGCTTGCTTATTTGTTTGTTTGTTTGTTTATTTTAGAGAGAGCATGTAAGCAGGGAAAAGGGCAGAGGGTCTCTTTTTTTTTAATGTTTATTTTTTATTTTTGAGAGAGACAGAGCTTGAGTGGGGAAGGGGCAGAGAGAGACAGGGAGAGGGAGACACAGAATCTGAAGCAGGCTCCAGACCTGTCAGCACAGAGCCTGACATGGGGCTTGAACCCATGAACCGCGAGATCATGACTGGAGCCGAAGTTGGACACTTAACCGACTGAGCCACCCAGGTGTCCTGAGAGAGAGATCCTAGAAAGGATCCTCCATTCTGATCACGGAGCCCGACTCGGGCTCGATCCCACCTTCCTGGGATCATGACCTGAGCCAAAATCAAGAGCTTGACTCTCAGCCGTCCCAGGCGTCCCAGCCAGCAGGTATTTTATATGCATATCACATCTCATGTTGAACTCTAAGTTTTTATCAGAGATACTCGATCACAGAATTTACAGTGGAGAAAGTAGAAATCACAGACCTAAGTTCTTCCAAACATACTTCAAAGTTTTCCAATAACTGGATCCGGTATCAACTTTTAAATTTAGATTCAAGTTAATTAAAGTTGCAATTCAGTTCTTTGGTGCCAAAATCCAGTTGCAGGTGCTAAAAAACTATACGTGGCTAGAGGCTTCTGTATCGTACAGTGTAGGACTAGACTGCCAGGGGGCAGAATGATAGAAATGAGGGGCTCCCCAGCTCCAGGAAGAACGTGGGAGGGAAACAGCCCAAAGCCAGACAGTAGCCAGAGCAGGAGCCCAGGGAAGGGGCTGTTGGAAGGGAAGACTCGAGGTTCCTCATTTGCACCCCAAGGTCCAAGCCCCAGGTGTTACAGCCTGCTCTAGAGGAATGGTTCTAATTTTTTAAATGTTTATTTATTTTTCAGAGAGAGAGAGAGAGAGACAGACAGAGTGTGAGCAGGGGAGGGCAATGAGAGAGGGAGACACAGAATCCAAGGCAGGCTCCAGGCTCTGAGCTGTCAGCACAGAGCCTGATGCAGGGCTCGAACTCATGAATTGTGATATCATGACCAAAGCTGAAGTTGGATGCTCAACGAACTGAGCCACCCAGGCGCCCTAGAGGAACAGATCTAGAGAGACAAGTGGGGGTCAGGCGCTGCTCCCAGGGACCACCCCTCAGTGACACTCTCATACCCTGGGTGTCTGGGGAGGGCACAGGAGGGTGAGGGGATCCAAAACCTACCCAGGTAGGAATGGGTTGAAAACCAAGAACTGTTTCTGGGGAAAACCAAAAAAAATTTCTGGGGATGGATTCTGGAGAATGTCCCATGTACAAGATCTTGACCTCTGCCCCAGGTACCCCCAGGAGGCAAAATCAGGACCAAGGATGACATTATAGAAGCCCACTGGGGGAGGGGGGTCAGACCAAGGATGAGTTTTAAAACAAGGAGAATTTTGCAGTGGGAAAAACAGAAAGGCTCCCTGCCCTTGGAATCCCAGAGAAAGAATATTCTAAAGGAATCACCACCACACCCTGCACCGCCACCCCCAAACACCCAGGGGAATACCAAAGCAGCCACCCATTGAGGGGTGGCAGAGGGCTTTCTTGTTTTACAGAGGGATGCCTAATGTGGGTCCTGTCCCCGCAGATGCATACGGATTGCATATTTGGAGTAACTGCCAGCATTTACTGTGCATTTACATTTTCTAAGTGCCAGGCGCAGAGCTAAGCACTTTCATTCTCACTAAAGCCACGAGCCTGTCCCCTAGCCCTGCTTCTCAGAGGAGGAAACTGAGTCACGGAGTGCCGAAGTCACTTCCCACAGCTAGAAGGTGCTGGAGTTAGGCAGTCCCATTCCAAAGCAGGCTTCTTCATATCACTAGGCCATACTGCCAAGAAGGCGGGTCAGCCTGCCTGGCTCTCGTCCCACTCTGCCTTCACCAGTTACCTTTCCAAACTGACCCCACTCACTGTGGAGGTGACATCTACCACATCAGGTCCTGCTGGGCTGGGGGACAGTGACAAGCCTGGCTCTGTCACCGCTGCCGCCACATCCACAATCACATTTAAAATTTCCCTCCATCCAGGGGCACCTGGGGGGCTCGGTCGGTTAAGCGTCTGACTCTTGACCTCGGCTCAGGTCATGAACTCCCGGTTCATGGGATCGAGCCCCACATGGGGCGGGGTCTGCTTGGGATTTATCTCCTTCTCTCTCTGCCCGTCCCCACCTCAAAGTAAATAAATAAACATTTAAAAAAATGTCTCTCCATCTCCTGCATGACTTCCCCTGGGGTGTGTTTTCTCAGAAGCCCCTGCAAGGAGAGGGGGGGGTCAAGGAGGAGGGAACAGGGCCGGCCCAGGTCCTACCCCCCACTGACCTGCTTCCACATGGCCGAGCAGGAACTCGGGAACAGAAGCACACAAAGGAGGGCTTTGAGGTGGCTGCAGCCTGGCCCTGGCTGATCCCCTCTTCCCCCTGGTGCCTCACTTACCCCAATCCGGGCCTCCCTGTAAACCCGATTTAACAGGAAACTGTGGGCTTTGAGAAGTTCCTTGTGACACACTAATCCCCCGGCTGACCAGACCACACCCCCAGCGGAGGCAACCTCCAGGCTCCCCGAGGAGGAGGAGGAGGAGGACACAGGCACCAGGTAGCCCTAAGGAGGAGCTGGTGACCTGACAGGTAAGTCAGTAGCAGGGGTCTGGCTGGACCAGGGAGCCCAGGACTGGGGTGAGGAGTCGGGGGGGGGGGGTGTGTGGAGATCACATTCCAGGCTGCCTGTAAGACTGAAACCCACTGGCCATTCTCTAAGCTGTGCCAGATCAACCTGATGGCAGATTTAGCAAATAAAAACACAAGACGCCCTGTTGAATGTGAATTTCAGAGGAACCACAAATACTTTGCAAATCCCCAATATTGCATGGGATGTACTTATATTTCAAAAGTGTGTATTGTTCCTCTGAAATTGACATGTAATTGGGCATTCTGCATTTTATCCAGCATCCCTAGGCGGCAGGGAACAGGGGGTGACAGTTCATAAATCAGGTTTTAAAACCTCAAAATTAATTAGATAGGGCATATTTAAAAAAGAATCGCAGTATAGACTTTAACTCTGTATTTCTAGGATCTAAGATCTTGTCCTAATGATCTGCTTAACTGGCTGAGGGTGTCCAGTCATTATCTCTCCTGTCTAAGCTCCTCAGGGCAATTTGATAAGCCTCTCCATTCCTGTTCCAGAAATACCCAAGTGAGGCCACAAAGGATTGCAGTCTGTCTATCTCTGTGCCCACACATTTGGAAGTCTACTTGCCAGAGAGGAGACTTAGATTTGGTTCCTGCTGCTGGATTCCCTCCCCTGGCTGGGGCTGGGGAGCAGCAGAGGCAGGGAATGGGAGATCCTCAGATTTTCCCTGGGGTCCTCCAAGCCTCTGGGCACACTAGGGCAATGATCAGTGTGATGCTAAGAAAGGGAAGGGAAATTACGTTTTAGAGCAAAACACGGTGCTAGACACCTTACGGAAATAATAGGATCTTCATTACAATTCTATTTGGTAGGTACAGTTATTATCCCCAATTTGCAGATGAGGAAACTGAGGCTCGGAAGGGTTAACTAACTTGCCGAAGGTCATACAGGTGGTAAATGACAACTCTTGATTCAAATCCAGGTTTCTCTGACCCTAAAGGTCATCCATGCTCCTAGGGAGTTTGTCTGGAGATGTCTTAGCTCTAGTCTTAGCTCTAGATGTTAAAGCAAGCAGTGGTTTGAGCCCTACCTCTGCCACTTCCCAACAGCGAATAGGTGACAGAATTGACCAGTGGGAACCTGATCAGACAGGAGCAGGGTGGTGACGGCTCCTCAAAGGCCCTGGGGGATATTGAGGCAGGAGAGGAAACAAATCTGGGAACAGGAGAGCTATCTCCAGAAATACTCAGTGGGTTGAAGAGGTTGTCATGTGGGCAATGGATGAGATTTGTTCTGGTGGCCAAGCATCGCTTCTGTGTGCATTATTTATTATTTTAAAATGTTTATTTATTTTTGAGAGACAGAGAGAGACAGAGCAAGAGTGAGAGAGGGAGACACAGAATCTGAAGTAGGCTCCTAGCTGTCAGCACAGAGCCTGAAGCAGGGCTCAAACTCTCGAACTGTGAGATCATGACCTGAGCTGAAGTCGGACGCTTAACCGACTGAGCCACCCCGGCGCCCCCTGTGTACGTCATTTAATGTGACCTTCGTAACCCTTCCATCTCCCTTTTACAGGGGACAACCAAGACTCAGGTTAAATGACATAGTTTGCAAATGGAAGAGACAGAATTTGAACCCAAGTCCAACTTTTTCCACAGGAGCCTGCCTCTCTGTGCTGACAGGAAGTCACAGCTCAGGCTTGACGCCTGACCCCTGGCTATTTCTGGCTGTGTGATGGTGGACAAGTCACTTACTCTCCCTGGAGTCTGTTCCCTCCCGTGTAAGGTGGGGAGAATACCAGCTCTGGCTCTGAGATAATGGACTTGAAATTAATGCATCACAAAGCACAGAACACTGCACCCAGTATTTTGCTGAGTATGGATGCACCGAAGAAGGGGCCGTCCACCAGGCAGGGAAGTTTCTGAGATTCCCCCTTGGGCAGGAGGAAGAGGGCCACACACGGGAGGAGGGATGGTTTAATCCTGCAGGGGTAGTGCAACTTCAGAATGGAAGCCAAGGCTAGTGTTTCCCTGGCTGGACCAACTCATCTTAAGAACTAGGGTTTGAGGTATTTTGGGGTGTATTTTTTCTCCAAGAAGAGCTTCCCAAAGTGTAACCCAGGGGTCATTTTCTTCAGAGCCCTCTGGGATGCTGCTTTGAAATGCAGATTCCTGGGACACTTGGGTGGCTCAGTCGGTTGAGCGTCTGACTTCAGCTCAGGTCATGATCTCATGGTCTGTGGGTTCGAGCCCCGCGTGGGGCTCTGTGGTGGCAGCTCAGAGCCTGGAGCCTGCTTAGAATTCTGTGTCTCCCGGGGCGCCTGGGTGGCTTAGTCGGTTGAGTGTCCGACTTTCGCTTAGGTCATGATCTCGCGGTTCGTGGGTTCGAGCCCCGCGTCGGGCTCTGTGCCGACTGCCAGCTCAGAGCCTGGAGCCTATTTCAAAGTCTGTATCTCCCTCTCTCTCTGACCCTCCCCTGCTCACACTCTCTCTCTCTCCTAGAAATAAATAAAAATATTAAAAAAAAAATTCTGTGTCTCCCTCTCTCTGCTCCTCCCCCACTCACTCTGTCTCTCTCGAAAAAGAAATGCCAAAAAATCAAAATAAAATAAAATACAGATTCCTGGGCCTGCCCCCGTTCAGACCTCCTGAGTCAGAATCATGGGTGCAGGGCTCAGGCACCTGCATTTCTAACAGACTTCTCAGGCGATTCTTATGCCCTCAAAAGTTGGAGATCCATTGTTCTGAAACAGTAAGAGAACTGTCTCTCCGTCTCTCCGGAACAGGGCAGACTTGACTCTTGCTGCCATAGGGAGGAGGCTGCCTGGAGAAGCCAGGACAGAAGTGGGCCCTTCTTTTTCTGAGAACTTTGAGTCTTCCAGAAGCAGCATGTCAGAAGGGGTGAGTACCCTGAGCCTTGGGTCTCCCCGCCATCTCCCTTCCTTCCTCCCCCGTCCCTCCCTGTTCCTCTGTTTGGTCTGCTGGGGGGTAATGGCCATTCACCTGCACAACTTCTCTGTGACCGCACCCAAAGGGAGGAGCTTTTACAGTGACTTTGGACGGAAGTACTAGTTTAGGGTCTGAGCAGGCCCACTTACCTGGCTTGCTCGGGCTGATGGGGGGGCCTCTCCCTGAGTGTTTCCGGCCTCTCTCTGCCCAGGTGGGCACATTCCGTGTGGTCCCTGAAGAGGAGCAGGAGCTCCGTGCTCAGCTGGAGCGGCTTACCACCAAGGACCATGGGCCCGTGTTTGGCCCGTGCAGCCAGCTGCCCCGCCACACCTTACAGAAGGTGAGGTGGCCCCGGGTGCGGGGAGGGGAGGGCTGACAAGGAGACAATGTTGATGGCATCCTCACTCCTACAGGAAGGGTCCAGCCCTAGCTCTCCAGGTTACCCTGCACCTGATGGACTGGTCTGTTCCAGGGGCCTTCATCCTGGAGGGTAGGGTCACGGCAGCACCTGGGCTCACCGGACATCTGGGCCAGGGATCACCCTAGGCTCAGATATGGGGAGCACTGGTTTGCAAGTGATCCTGGGAAACAGAAATCCAACTGCTGCCCTCCCCGGATTGGCAAGAGGCCTGAGTTCTAGAATCAGACCTATTGTCAACTTGCTGTGTGACCTTGAGCGAGTTGCTTTCCCTCTCTGCGTCTTACCTTATGAGAGAAGGTTGTCAAACCAGCTCAGAGTGGAGCAGACTGTGCTCTGCGGAGAGTGACCGAGCTGTCTTGGAGCTGAGCTGAGCCTGGGCTCCTCAAGGGAAAGGTGCTCTGAGCTCCCCCAGACCTGAGTCCCCCTTCTTTGCGTTACCCTCACTCATGCTGCCAAAGGGAGAGCTCCCTGAGGAGCGCTGAGGAGCTTTCCAGGCCCAGCCAGGGGAAGGAAAGTGAGGGGGGGGGAGGGGGGAGGGAAGGGGGTGCAGGCTGCCATCTGCCCCTGTCTTGCTTTTTGAAAAGATCAGAATGAAGCCTGGGAGCTGCCAGCCAGAGTAGGAGTCTCAGCTCCACACCTTCCTGTCTGGGTGACCTTGACCTCTAGGGACCTCGGCCCTGGGGCTGAGAATACCCATTTTATGGTGCTGTGTGCCGTGTGAGGGTTCCAAGAGGTGCGGGCTGCTGTCATCAGAAACGTTTACACGTTTGGCGATCTCCTGCCCACAAGCCCGGGAGGAGGAGTTTGATCCGCTTTTCTGCCACTGTAATTGGCAGTGAGAGGTGCCGCCGGGGCAGCTGCTGCTCTTGGTGGGCAGGGGAGCCCCAGCGGCAGCTTCCCCACGTGCGCGCGCACCGATGATACGCGACTTGCCGCCTCCCCTCCCCCCTCCCCCTCGTTCCAGGCCAAGGACGAGCTGAATGAGAGGGAGGAGACCCGGGAGGAGGTGGTTCGCGAGCTGCGGGAGCTGGTGCAGGCGGAGGCGGCGTCGGGGCAGGAGCTGGCCCGGGCGGTGGCCGAGAGGGTGCGGGGAAGGGACAGCGCCTTCTTCATGCGCTTCATCCGCGCGCGGAAGTTCAACGTGGGGCGCGCCTACGAGCTGCTCCGAGGTGAGGCCCGCGCAGGGGGGAGGCCGGTGCTGACTCTCACCCGGGCACCGAGGGCGCTGTCCCCTCCACTCCCCCTCCCCTTCCCCCGCCCTGTGAGAGTCCCTCTCCCTGAGCCTCCTTATCCTTACCTGTGAAATGGGCGAGCGAACTGAGCCGCCCCCGGGATCGCTTTCAGCTCTGACCGCAGAGAATGAGTGTGGCGGGACCGCGGTCCCGGGAAGCCGGGAAGTCTCCCAGTTCTGGGCCTCACGCCTTAGTACTGAGTCACCCTGACTGTGTGCCCAGGCAGGCGCGCGTCCCCCTCACCCCTACCCCAGCCTGGACTTGGGCTCCGGAGCGCAGCAGGAAAGGTGGCTGGGTGCCTGACTGCAGGCCTCAGGCAGAGGGGAACTGGAGATAGTTCCAGGCCTGGCACGCGGCCCTGAGGACAGGGCGGCCCAGGCCCTGCAGGCTGGCTGAAGACCAGTGTCCTAAGGAAGTCCAGACCCCGGTGCTGGTGGAGAGAAGAGAAGGGGTGTCCTGCTGGGACCCCCCCCCCCACAATATGCCAATCACTCATTTACTTTTATTTATTAAATTAAAACTTTTTAAAAAATATATTTTTATTTATTTCTAGGAGAGAGAGAGAGACAGCGTGAGCAGGGGAGGGTCAGAGAGACAGGGAGTCACAGACTGAAACAGGCTCCAGGCTCTGAGCTGGCAGTCAGCACAGAGCCCGACGCGGGGCTCGAACCCACGAACCGCGAGATCATGACCTAAGCGAAAGTCGGACGCTTAACCGACTAAGCCACCCAGGCGCCCCAAATTAAAACATTTTTAATGTTTTATTTCTGAGAGAGGGACAGAATGTGAAGTGGGGGAGGGAGGGCAGAGAGAGAGAGAGAGGGAGACACAGAATCCGAAGCCGGCTCCAGGCTCTGAGCTGTCAGCACGGAGCCCGACGCGGGGCCAGAACTCACAAACCGTGAGATCATGACCTGGGCCGAAGTCGGATGCTTGACTGACTGAGCCCCCCAGGAGCCCCTGCCAACCACTCTTTTCGGCCAAAGGATGCGGCAGAGAACAAAGCAGACAAGACCCGACTGCTTTCATGGACTCCATGCTCTATCGGTGGAAATCACAAACCAGAGAAATCAAATCAAATTACGTAGACTGTTAGGCAGTAAGAAGGGATAATGAGAAAAAATAAAGGAGGTGAATATAAAGAACCGAGGGGTTGAGGTTGCAGGGAAAGTGGCCAGGAAGGCTCCAGGGCAAAGGGGACTTTTGCAGAACAATCCAAGGGAAAGGAGAGAACCTGGGGGAGGGGCCATAGTGCAGAGGGAAGAGTGAGATGGAGATGGGGTACCGGATGCTGTGGGAACGGTGGGGGGGGCTGTGGCATTCCCTATGCAAATGCTGCCTGAGCACCTCCCCCCCGCCCCCCCCCCCCCCCCC